GCTCCTCTTGGGTAAAAGCGGGGGTGTATACACCGCAAAGGAACAGGTTGTTCAAACATGTTTAAACCAAATGGTTTTATTAATCAAGAGTCTACTTTATGGGGCCAGGCGATGAAGGGACTCTGAATCAACCAAACAGGGGGAAGTCAGTGGTTTTCATGAACGGAGCTGATGCCGCGATGCAGGCGTGGGGTGGGGGCTGGGCGTGGGATCTTGAGTTCCATGTCCAAAAGCTTGAGAGCTCCGCACGGACCAGTCTTTGTGGGCTGAGCATGCCCTAGTAGCTTACTTAGTTGGTCGATTCTGTGAGACAGGATGAGACAGGTGACAGGGGGGGGAATTGTTCTATTCATACCCTCCGACTCACCAACCTGGAAGTGGAGTTTGGGGGCCTCCGAAGACTCCTGCAAGACCATGAAATCCTCTACAGACATGGGGATTTTCGACTTGCATGTGATGTGTTTGTCGGAGTGTACCCTCGTTCCAACCATTGTAGAAGTGGGCACTGGTCCTTTAGAAGCCTACTTTCCTTTATAATCTTTATAGGCCGGTCTCTTTTTCTTTCCACTTGATTGTTGGATGAAGGATGAGAAGCTCCTGGAGTGTAGGGATGATGGAATGTGGAGTTCAGGCTTATAAGAACCACCAGCTGCCCCACCCAAACCAGGTCACAGAGAAGCAGCCACGCGGTTCATCTCCAGATCACCCGGACCACATGTTTAGCTGGGCACCGCAGAAAGCAGAGCAGGTGAAGCTGAGACCAAGCCGCTCACAGGCACAGTCTGTGGGTGTTGTTTTTGAGTTCGTTTCTGTGGGTGTTTGGAGTTCGGCGGGTCGAACTCTTGGAATGCTTCGTTGCGCTTGTTGCCGCAAGGCAGGGCTTCATGTCGACTTCGCTCGCTCGCTTGCACGACGTCGCGGATCGGGAAGGTCGCCAAGTTCAATCTCTCTCCCTCCGTGCAGAAGCTTCTGCTTGAGCAAGGGTCTGGCCGGCTGACTTATGAGACAGAGGTTGCGGCATCCACCAAGAATTCACAACTGGTGAACGAGAGGCTTCTGCTTCTGGGTGACAACACGCGGACGGCTCAGATAGGCATCAAATACAAGATCAGGAGAAAAGCGAGCAGAAATCACGAACTAGTACTAGTGACCTAACATCCTTCAACATCTATGAAAGAAAGCTGGTGTTAGACTCTTCTTTTATCCATTTAAGGACCACCATACTGACCGTGACATTTCTGATTCTGTGTCGTTCCATCCTTGTTCTCTGCGCCATACTGACCTCGCATGAGGTCATACGAAACGGGAGTGGTGATGAGTGCAGTGATTTCAAGGGCTGTACAGAATGTGAAGGCACGGTGAATCAAAATTCCGGCGTCAAACGTTCTGATCATTCTCATTTCGATCCAAGTTATCAGACAACAGATACAGGGGTGACTGTTGTCATCCCCATATTGGAGACGAGTTATTTTCTTGACCTCATTATCCTTTCTTGTCATCCTTTATCACATCACTCTGGAGAGTCGTCCTCGTTCTCGACTACTCAACTCGCCGCCGCGTCGGACGACGCGGCGGCGTCGGACGAAGGCGATCCGGCGGACGGACGGACGGAGACCTCGTGGAGTCGATCACAGCAGTGTTCGCCTAGGAATCCGGGCCCCGGGCCCTTGCTCTCTTTCCACGTGAGAAGGGGGCAACGAACGCTTCGGGTTCTGGCAGAAACCCTCCTTCTTTCTAACTCGGTGGGTCCGAGCCAGTGCCATGGGGGGCCCGAGCTCGGATTCATTCTTCGGGTTTTGAGAAAGGAGTAGATTGAAATATGATGAAATCTTGAAAGCTACGTGGCAAAACAAACGGGACCATGTTCTGAAGTTTTGACAGCTGCCTTCCATATACATTCCAGGGATTATGCTGGATCCGTCACCATCCTGGCAAAGAGCCCAGGGTGGGAGCACTAGCCCAGGGTCTGTGGGAAGATACATAGCCGCAAGATGGTATGCCGTTGTGCGTGCTTTTGAATCTAGTTCTATCATGTTCTATCCACATCCATCATAGTCTATTCAATGGATTCATTTGGCCTTTACATGACCTTGATAGCCAAACTTCAATACACCACTTCACTTGGGGAAACACCATTTACCATGACAATCGCTTCTCATGTCTATCCATATTTTGTCATATTGTTTCAATCACCTATCCATGTCACCGTAGAGCCCCCTCCCCCCCAGGAGCCCCGGAGGTCGGGAGTCCTTGGCTCCAGGTGCCTTGCGTCCTGCGGCTCACACCCGCTGCCGGAGCAACGGATCTGCTGTTGGAAGGTGAACGACTGGAGCTGATCCACCCTGAGGCGAATTTTTCTTTGCGAGAGAGACGGTTTTTGGGACCCCGAAATGGACAAGTAGATGTAGATCTCCATTTTTTTAAAGGCACATCCATAAGTTCAGGAAATTCCAATATTCATTTCGATCATCATTTAGGAGAGATACGGGTTTATCGGAGGATTCCGATGTCAGGATGTCATAGATCCTGTTATAAAGAAACGACTGGACATAATGTGGACAACCAGATCGATCCTGTGTGATCCAGCTTAGACAGAGCTTCTCCGTCCCTGAGCACGTCCAGGCGCTTGGAGGTGGTACAGCCATACACATGTTGGTGCTTGGCCTCAAGTTCTGAACCATTTCTTTTCACCCAAAACAAACACCGTTGGATGTCGCACTGCCTGCACCACACTGCCTCCTGCCGCCCCTGGGAACCCCACTGAGTTGAATCGGGCCTTCGCGGGCGATGCCCGCTGCGCCGCGATGCTGGCGCAGCTCCTGTCGCGCATGAGGGGCGACGCGCCGCCGGACGACGCGCCGCCCGACGACGACTCGCCGGTGCCGACCCAAGAGGCGGGGGGGACAGCGGGGGGGAGGGGATGATCATGCGTAAGTCAAAACTGCAGGTGTGGAAGGTTTGTTTGGACGTGTTTGGAACTTATGGTGTTTTGCATGTTTTGGACATGCCGATTTGGAAGCAGTAAGGAAGGAGGAAGGATGAGAAAGGTATCATCTGGGTGCGATTCAAAATGAGAGGACTCCCACAACCTCCCTTTTTGTATGCAGAATTGGCAGCCTTTTCATCCCAAACCTGCCAGGTTTGGCAGACCTCTTGCGTAGTGGAAGATCCAGGTAGCATAGAAGCACTGCCGCATACCGATAGCACTGCCGCATACCGAGCTCCGGGGAGTCCTAAACACACCTCCTTCGGTGCTTCACCACTTCGGTGCTTAGCTTCGACGCGTTGCTGCCGTTGACTAGGACTCCCCCAGCTGCCAGGGCGTTAGAAGAGGGAGCCCCTGGACACATCCGGTTGTGACGTGAAGAGGCGAAGCGTTTCTTTTCCCCACAAAAGGATGAAAACTATGGGACCTCGGCCATTTCTCATGGCTGCCACGGTACTTGCCACGGTTTTGGCGCTCATGCAGCCTTCGACATGGAGCTCCAAGATCCCGGATTCACCATCCTTCGCCCCGTTTCGACCTTCTCGTCACCTGTTTCGACACCTCCTTCCTCACGGCCGAGGCGAGCTCCGCGGAATCTGGGCGTGGAGGCTGGCGGAGGCCAGCGCACCTCCCGGAGAGCCCGCTCCCCCCAGGCAGCCGAGGCCGGCGCGCGATGAACGTGGTGGCACGTGGCTAGTTGTGGCCCGTTGTGTAACACCCTGTTGAGGTAGTGGTGGCCCGAGGACTGATCCAACCACGGAAGCCAAGTGGCGCTTCAAATGAGTATACATCTGAAGGAAGACAGGAAGACATGGACAATGCCCCGCAGCAGGCCACATGCAAGGAAATCAGCATGGCGGCAATCGAAGCCACAATGCGATCGAAGCACTAAGCACTTAGCCTTGTTAAGCTTAAGACAAACAACAACCTCACCATTCATGCGGGCTTCATCTACTTCTAATCTCAAGGTGGTGTTGACCAAGGATGCCTATTTTTTGATAGCACCGCATAGGTTGCAAGGCAAAATCTGTTGTCACCAAGTCTGCAAGTGCCTGAATCTTAGCCCTGTGTAACTAAGGAGCAAAACGGGGAGTAAGGTTGTCAAGCGTTTTTGCATAGGCAATGGATCGCCATTCTTGTTGACCGTTTGCTTTGCTCGGACCATGACTTCAAGAGTGGCTACGAAGTTCCTCAAAGCTGAACAGACCAGAATCATCCCAGACGACGGGGAGTCCGACAGACAGGGCACCCCAGGGCACCGGAAGTGGGACAGGAACCTGGCGATTGGGACGAACCAACAACTGCTCAGGGCACACCCAGAAGATGATGGAGGCGCTGAGAGATCCGGATTGAGAAGGCCGGAGACGGATCGGCCGCGCGCGTGCCTTGCGGTCCGCTGGCTCAGTGGCTGGCTCATGCGGAGAGGGATTTGGATTGATTTGAATGCAGCGAACTTCAGCAAGTGGCCCCCCCAGGTCCATGTTGGCTATTCACTGTTGCTTCTGACATGCCAAAGAATAGGAAGCAGAGAGCACAAGTTCTGATGAGTTCTGCAATGCAGCTCGATGTGACCTTATCACCTAGCTACCTCACTAAGCTCGCCTCGCAGGAGGGACCCACTCCGAACGCCCGTGCGGGGAGTGACCATGGGAATCCCCCCGAAAAAAACACCGCGTCTTCTGCGGCTCGCCAGGCCGACGACGAAGTGCGGCCACTCCGCCCGGGCCGATCCGACGAAAAAGCGCGGCAGATCCGTCGCGGGTTCCGTCGACGGTCGCGGCGATCGGTCGACGGTCCTCGCTGTTCTCGTGCGGATCGGGCGGATCGCCCGGGCGCCGTGCTGTGGCAGCGACCGATCCTCAGCATGACCGGCCTTCACGTGGTTTCGCCGTGGCGAACTCTTCGTGCGCGTCGCACGTGTCCCGCTCGAAGCTGCGGGGCTCGAACCTGCAGGGGCGCCGGCACGTGGCAGTGTGGCGTAGGAGTGGGGGACGTGCATGGGAGTGCGTTGCAGGACCCTTTGCACTGGAAGAACAGCTTGACTTTGCCCCCACAACCTGAGAGCCATGGAGATCTTCCCAACAGGCGTGGAGGGCCTGACTCAATGCAGACGGTTCAACCCCCCATATGAGCATACGAAGAGGTTTTGCATTGTGCGTGTGTCTCGAAGGGGTAAAAGACAACATTAAGATGCCATTAAGGGTTGATTCAGGATGGAATATGGGAGGTTTGACTCATTGTAGGTTGGGGACCCCGCAACTTTTGGGTGAAGCATCGTGGTGACCCAAAAGAGTTATTCAAAAGACTCTGTCCCTGGTAATCCCATCTTGAGAGTTCTCATCCATGATCATGTGCATAGTTATGATTCTTTTGCCACGCTCATGCCAGAGTTTTTCAGCTGAGAACATGTGGTGAGTGAGCCTCAAAAACATCTCTGCCCTTCTTTCAGGGAGCCCGAAGACAGTTCGAGAATCGGGGCTCGGCCCCAAGGCGTGCGTTCGGCCGTGGCGGGGCCCTTCAACGGAATGAACGTGATGACTGACGGATGCTTACTAGAGAATAATGGCATACTATATCATAGATACCTTAGTTATCCTTATAGTGTATATACCCTCTAATATTAGATGCCTTAGTTACGCGTCGCACCAGTCACAAGAGGATCCATGAGTTCACGTGGGGCGAGTCGTTGCGGGGTGAGATCCGACCCGTCAGGCGAGGCATGGTCGGCTTCCGTTGGTCGGCTTGGCCCGTGAGGTCATTGAAAAAGGAACTGGACTGCAGAAACTGGTCGTCAGAAACGACACATCATAGAAGAAGATGACACATAAAACCATTTTTCATGTTAACCCATAACAAGTACAGTTTTCCCAGTCGTATTCAGTTCCTTTTTCCCAAGAACCGGTCCGCACCCTCCGCCTTGGCCGAACCGCCGCCCCCCTCGGTGGCGGAACCCGCACAAACGATGCCCGAGTTCTGGGACCTGCAAACCTCGCGGATGCCCACGCCGCAGCCCTGGGACGAGTCGCGCGCGAGGCGCGGGATGGGCGGGGCGACCCGCTGCGCGCGGTGCGGTGTGCGCGGGTGGTCGAGCTCTTGAGGGTTCCGTGGGTGTCGAGTGAGACGGATGGGGGGCGGATGGGGGGCGGAAGGGGACGGAGGGCTGTGACGGAGCTGGGGAGATCCGGAGGGAGTTTCAGTTGCCTTCTGTTTGGGTGAGTGTGAGATGAAGATGTGAGTGTTAGCTTCGAGTTCTTTTTTGGTTTTGGAGGTTGTGAAGCATACTGAAACCAATTGAAACCTTCTCAGACTCAGTTCCAAGACTTTTCGAAAGGCCAAGCAGCCAAGCCCTATATCTTCGCCAGCCATTCCTCGTGTCTGGTGCTTGTGCCACATCCTCGCGTGCAGGAGTGCCACACCCTCTGCATGCATCCATGTCTCGATCTTAGCATCGGAAGTAGCAACGTTCGGGCTCGACACCTGGTGCGACGTCGCACGCGGACTCTCCGGCTTTCTCTCTCTCGGACGGTTCGGCGTGGCCTGATAAAAACAAGAGGCGAAGGGCTGGTTCTTCCAAGCGACCGAACTGGATCTCCTGATATCACCTGGTTGGTTCGGTGACGAAAAAGGGTTCGGACAGGCCAACAAAGTCGGGGGGGGGTCTCCCGAAAAAGCTCACGGTTCGTGAAGAGCTGAGGGGTCGAGTCCGTATCGTTTTCTTCTGAGAAAACGGCGCGGGAGAGTGACCATCTCCTCATTGAAGACCATCAACAAAACGTGGGAAGGACATCCTGGTCACCTTTTGGCTTATAGAATGGGAGGGGTCAACCCCTCCCATAAAACGATTGATACCAGGGGGTAGTAGTTAAATTCCTTATGGAAGGACCTGGTTTTGTAGTGTAAAATCCTTACAGTATTAGTAATGGTGGTTCGGTAAAGCCTAGGCTATAGGGCGAACCCATGTAGTTCCTCATTTGGAGCCTCGTATTTTCGCGCATAGCTAGTCAGGTATTTCTCTCAAGAAAGAGGTCGACCCCCAAGACATCCTCAAACCAAAAGAAGCACAAATCTATATACCAGCAATCACAAAGGGGTGCCTATTGGAGGATAGGGGTGCCCAGCTACTCCACTCACATAGGGACTATAAACCACCCAACTCCATGTGACTCCTGGTCGACTCCTGTGTTTCTCCCAGTCGACTCTCCAACATGTCCTTATTCCCTCGACCACGACCACGACTTGCCAGTCATGCTTTCTCTAAGGCGTCCACGCAGCCCTTGGCCCGAAGTGCAGCTTTGGATCAATATGCACGGGTGCCTCCGAAAGACGAACTGCATGGAGAACATGGAGAACTGCATGGATGGAGAACTACTGTAGGGGGGGACAGGGATCTCAAGCAGTGTACTTAGTGCGGTATACTGACATGGGAATCCTCGCTTGTTGGGTTGAAACACTGCACAATGCTGGCGTTGTACACATCATGTTCAATCCTTTCTCATCCAGTTCTGTAACTACTCGTAGTATGTTTCATGCCTGGAGTCCCTGAAAAAACAACCCCTTACTGGACTTCCTGTTGTATGGATTTTGGACATTACCTTGGTAGATTCCCCCCTGAGTCTGCAACAAAGCAGACCTCATCTTGGACATCTTTCACCAACGCCAGCCAAAAGACGCTTCATCACCTTCCTCTTTCACAGGTCTCCTTCGGCCCACTAGGGGCGTCTCGCAAGGGCAGGGCCAAGGGGCCCGTGGGCCGTCTCTCTCACCATGCACGCCTATCAACACACGCAACGCGCCGCCGATCCGCGTTTTCGAAAGGAAGACCGCCAGGCCAGCTCGGCGTGTGGAAGCTCTTCCGCACGCTGCTCCACGCGAGCCTCGGAGACCCAGCGACGGACCGACGGACCGACGGTCCGACGCGACGGGCCGGGCGGTGACGTCGACACCGTGGGTGATCGGGGTAGCTGAATGGCTGTGGCGTTTGAAGCCCCTGACATTGGGCAGACCGTCCGGTGTGTTTGTTCTGAATTCGTTTGGCAGGTCGATTCGGGGCATGGTTGGGTCGAAAACCCAAGGGAAGGGTTGGGTCGTATGTATAGGATAGATGAAGTGCACAGTTCTTTTCGTTTCTGTTCCTGAAGAGGCAAGTTGGATGATCACTCATGGGGACTGCACAGCTGATTCCGAGGCTGCCACCACGACACCGACCACGGCCCGACCTTCACGCCTTTCTTGGAGCGATTTTCGGCGTTCCGGATGAGCCTCAATGTCTGTGTTGGTGTCGAAGATGTCAAACATATATGGCTTTTTAGGCCAGCTTTCCTTCAGTCCTAACAGATTGGTATAATTCGTATCTACCACAAGCCACACTCACAGTGCCTGGAGGAGAGAAAGATCTCCATTTGAGCTGGAGGAAGAGGACTCCAACAGCTTTCATCAGCCATCCGCTCTCCAGAATCGGCGATGAACATCAATACAACCCAGACACTCCACGTATGCAACATATGGTCTATACATTCCTGGTTCTTCAAAGTGACCGAACTTGATTACCTGGTTTGAGGTCACTTAATTAAGCCTCCTATAAGGGCCACTTAGGAAGGTTCACTTTACTGAAGAAGCTGGTTTAGGTGTTTCTTAGTGGTGAATGCAGACCATATTGATGCCCGCCACCATGGAGCGTTTGGGGCAAGTCCGGAACGTTCCGGTTCTGACCTGCTTGAGGAGAGGCCCTACATGCAGTCTGAGAGGAAGGAGCAGGACCGGTCGACCAGTCCGTCTGCAGAGTCCGGCCCCGGTCGTGGCTGCTGGTGGACCCAGACGGGTCGGGTCGTCTGGGACTGCCAGGACGGACTGCCGCCCCATCCCCCTGAAGTCAACCGGCCTGATTGGCAGTCCGACATGGCAGTTCTGTCTCACAGGGAGTGTCTGGGTTATGGGAAGACGTTGAATGTTGAACTTCGTCCTTCTTCCGGACCCCTAAACCCTTACTCCTCCGACTTGAGAGGTGGATCTGTGAGGATCCTGTGAGGATCCCCAGATCCACCTGCACATCCCCAGACTCAGGAGGAGCTCACGGGTCTTCTTCAAGGCGAAGGAGATCCAAAGCCACGAGCCCAGCGACACGGCGACACAGCTCCGCAGCGCGCGCAGCTCCGAAGATCCGGCGCTCCACTTGCGCTGAGGAAGATTGAGAGCGCTTTGCTTCACAAGGCTGAGTTCTGATGAAGGGGCGTCCAATCTTGGGAACCGCAGGAAGTCAAAGACAATACCCAGATACTCCATGTGTGGCGTAGTTATATATACCTACATGGACCCCCCAAAACCACCCCAACTGATCGGCATATATGGCAGTCCCATGGAGTGTCTGGGAAAGTCTGGGATAGGCTTTGATAGACCATAGATTGCACCTATTTTTATCCAGGAAGTCAGGGCAACTGCCCTGAAGCTCCGAGCTAACCCTGCACCGTTAGTGGGGCAATCTTGATCGTGGAACTCGACTTCTACCAGCACCTTCCAACAGGTCTCCTCTGAAGGCTTTTGTAGACTTAAAAGTCGCAGGTGGTGACCTGTTGGAAGGTCCTGGTATAGGGGATGTTGTTTTTTTTTGTGTGTGTGGACAATCCCACGTTCTTTCCATCTCAACTTAAGACGTTTTTGGGTTTTCGCTCTGAACTTTGAACCCCCCCGCTTTGAACACTGGACGTGTCCACCCTTTTTCACTGCAAGAAAATCAACTCAACAGAGCGATGGAGACTCCTCTCCTGTGCTCACTGATGACTGGTGCTCGATCGTGTTATGAATCATGCACATTCATCAAATGAGTCTTGCTTCACACCTGAACATCCAAACCACAAACGATCACCAATTGATTCACCAATTGATTCGTATATCCATACAGCTGATCCTGTCATGAGACTTCTTCTGCCTTCTTCTGCCGTTTTTCCATCCCCATCTTCTTCCGTCAGTGAGTCAGTGACCTCGCGTCGGGTGGGAACTCCGAGCCCTTCCGTTTTCGGCCGCAGATCCTCTTCAGACGACGGCCTCCACCCGATGCCGAGGCGCGTCCACCGGTCCGTCCGGACCCCATTTCGCGACCCCGTTCCGACCGGCGCCGCGTCCGCGGCCGCAGGAGGACGACGCGCGGCCCGTGCGCGCCCATGCGGCACCGCCGGGACTGATGAAAGCCACCACGCAACCGGAGTCCGAGCCACTGGGCGAAGCAAGGAGAGAGGCGACCGGCCCGGCACAGGCGCAGTGTCTCAGGTGTGATGGTGGTGTTATGGTTGAAGCATGTTGAAGCCCAACATGGGGCTGCTGGTTGCTGGTGTATTTTACTTGCGGACAAAAAACACATGGGATTTCCATGCGGTCCCAGTTGCGGTCCCAGTCACGAGTTTCCTGCGATCCGACGGCGAAGCAGGAAGCATGCCTCCATCCACCCATCGTTTTGAAGCTCCACCATGGGCCTTCTGATGGCGAAGTCCCTCTCCCTCCCAAAAAGAACTGAACCACACAGAGTGGCACCAGCCACCCGCTCTTGTTTCCATCTCCCACCATGGCTGGGACCACCATGCTGCTACCACTGCACTGCCCACTCCTCCCACTCGACCCGCTCCGACCCCGTTGACCCGTTGACCCGTTCGCCGCCCCCGGTTGAGGCTCCTCTTCAGCATCGCCAAGACCTTTCGCGCCGTTTCGGCGCAGGGCGTGGCGCAGCGCGTCCCCTACGGCGCGCCGGCCCCGCCCGCCGCCGGACGAGACGACGAAACGCGCGAAGACGACGAAGTTCGGAGACCGGTTGGAAGAGGACGGGAGACAAACTGAGAGACTCCAGCTGTGCAGGAGAAAGACTGACTCAAATTCAGGTTGTAAGAAAGTCGTGGGTGTGTGATGGTGTGTGTTTGTTTTTGCTAGGGAGTTTCTTTTTGTTGGCTCTTCAACAGCGATGTTGGCTGTTTTTCATCATCATCATCATCATCATCATCATCATCATCATCATCATCATCATCATCATCATCATCATCATCTTTCTTTCGCGACGCCCTCTGCTTCGGGAGGTAGCGTTGACCCTCTTGAACATTTGTCAGGTCAGGCACTTCGTACCACGTATGGTCATGAAAAGGACTGAGCGATCTGCAAAGCAAGTGCGGCCGTCGTTTCTATGGCCACATCCTGCTGCATGCGCTTCAAGAATCGGTGGAGCATTCCAAAATTGCGAAAACAAGGACAGATATGTTCGTCCATGCTCTCCATCCCACTATAGAAAGGTTGGCAGGCGCACAAACGACCTGGTCTGGCCTGCGTCATGAATTGGAACGTGAGTTCCTCACACGGCTGCTCAGCTTCATCCCACAGCGCAGCATGGTGGAGCCTCAAGTGAGACTTGAGGTCAGGCGGCTGCATGTTGCACAGCACACAGCGCCGCGTCAGGAGGCCGCATGCTTCCAAGGAGTCAAGCAGCAATCGAACGTCGAGACGATCGAGAGCGGGCAGCCAAGCATCAAAAAGTGTATGGTCCTGACTGAACGCTTGCTTTACGTGCAGCATTTGTTGTTCCTTAGTCAAAATTGCCAAGGAGCCTGAGTCAATCACATCACAGATCTGAGCTCCGCCATGGTCCGTAAGCTTCAGCCAGAGGACACAGCAGTTCCTGAGCACGTCGTCCGGAAGTCGAGTCACATGCACTGGAGGCGCTGCATCATCCAACAAAACCCAGTGGGTCTCATCCCAAAGTGCAGTCTGGTAGTGTCCTGAGTGAGGGTCATGACCTACATGATGGGAAACCGCAACCACCGTGTATGGAATGTTGTCAATCTCCATGCTAAAGTGCACGAAGTGAGGTACAAACACTGGATGGTTCCAACTGAGTTTGTGAGTGCATTTGCCCCCATCTCGATTGAATCGGTCTATCTGCACAGTGAGTAGGTCGGCTGGACCAGCAAAGGCCTGGAGGCCATAAGACCCAAGTGACCATGCACTGAACAGCTCTTGCAGCTCGGTCGTATCTTCGTTTTCCGCTGCGCTCAGATAGAGGCGTACAGGACAGAAGTGTGCCCCGCTGTCCACCGTGCGGACAACTCCATCTGCCTCAATCCTGGCCTCCCAGAGATTGCTCAGGAAACAAGGCTCCACAATGGGAAGCAGGAACTGGAGGTATTCAACTAGGTCGTGCTGTGCAAAGGGACGGGCCCATTGATCCATCAAAGAAAGCCACTTGCCATTGCCCCATAGCAAGACAGGCTCACCATCATCATTGCTGACGATGTGTTCGAAGATCTCTGGTAGGACCTTCCATTGGTGTGCCTGCAAAGGCCCCACTTTGATTGCACCCCATAGCAAACCCTGGACGGCTGAGTTCATGTAGCAGCAGTTTCCTGGGTTTTGCAAACCCCTGAGTGTCTGTTTGGAAGCCAAGCTCATAGGGTCTCCAACATCCGGCCGAGGTGGCCTGCCAATGGCGTCGTCGCATCCTGCCCAAAATGAGTTGCCATAGTCCCGAGAATGCCAGCTCCTGCCACAGGGAATGCATCTCCAGCGAGTACTTGTGGTTCATGGAGAGCGAGAGTCTCCACGGGATCACCTGTGGAGTGGCCACCGTCGGCTTGGTCATGTGCTGCTGAATCTGAGCATTCGGACGTAGGGCGCTGAATCTGACGATCACCGCATGGTTCTGAAGCAATGTCAGAATGCGAGTGAGCTGAGTGGTCACATGGGTCATCGTGAGTGGCGTCTGATCCATGTTGAGCTCGAGCTTCTTGAGCTCCGGATTCCAGTGCAGGAAGGGGAAGTTTAACTCTCGAGCATTGTCGTTCAAGGTCACGTACTGATGCTGCAGCAAGGTTTTCACCAGGGCGTCCTCCAAGGGGGTCTTCTGCAACTTCTGAACACGGGCCAGGAGCTCCTCCAGGAGAACATGGAGGACCTTGATCCGAAGAGGAATCAATCTGTCCTTGGGCGCCTGTTGGTGCCAATCGTCCGTGGCCTGCATCATCTTGACCATGCTGGAACCTGGTCCGAGACTCAAAAAAAGCATGAAGTCCTGGTCCACCGCAAGACCCCTCAGAGTGTCTTCGTGTCGAAGAACCAGCCGTGCAAGGGCCTGTACCACTGGTCGAAGTTCGGCGTCTTGTGGATTGTGGCTCTGGTCTTTGCGAGACTTGTGTTTGCCCTTGCCTTTGCCTTTTGGCGGCTGGTGGTCTGCTCTCTGCCTCTTCGGGTTGGGGGTGGGGTCCACCTCCATTGGTGTCAGGGACTTGAGCACTCCCCACATCTCTTGCACCGGATCCTGATCGTTGTCCATGGTGTCCATGGTGCAGCCGACACAATAGAGCAGCGAGTTGGAGCAGGATTGGACACTCGTGTGCTGCTGTTGAATGTGTGTGGCAAAGAGAGCAAAGATCGGTCTCCGGAAGCATGTCCAAAAGATATCTATGAAACAATGCCCCACGTGTGCAATCCCGGGGATGTTGATGTCTGAGATGTAAGTACATGTCGTGGGTCCCAATGAGTCGACCACAAAGAACACAGCACTCTCTGAGGGCAGCACAGAGTTCCGGCAAGGTGAGGATCTTGGAAAGTTCTCCACGGACCAGCCATTCGTCCAGGTCTGGATAGTTCAGCTGCAGTGTAGGGCAGAGGACCAGTAGGTCCAGCTTCAAGGCCTGCGTGAGCACAAGGTCAGGGCCAGAGTTGCGGAATTTGTGAAGATCATGATGCACCATCAAGGCCAGATGAGTGAAGACCGTGCAAACATGGGGTCCTCCTGGTGGCCGGGTACAAGTACAACCCAGTCGAGAAAGGGGGGTGGAGTGTTGAAGCCACTCTGCATATCTGGTCACCTCCCTCCAGCGATCTCCATGATCCGAGCACAGATGTCTGAGAAGGGAGGTGGAGCTCTGGGAGAGATGACCACACAAACCACACCTAAGACCAAGGCGCCGAAACAGGCTTTTGTACCCCACCAAGTGATCGAACGTGCCCCCACTGAGTCCAGCCAAAATGACAGGGTGCCGCCAAAGAAATGGTGTCTCGGCCATGTCCTGAGTATAGGCCTCACATTGGTTGCCGTCGATGTGGTGTTTCAGCTCTCTCAAGGTGGTGAAGGTGGTTTCACAATGAGTGCATTGGAGCTGACCAGGAGTTTGGTCCCTGCTAGGATTGAACGTGTTCTGGGTCGTCGTATGTGGATGTTGCATGCTCATATGTTGATGGAGGCCGGCGGCAGTGGCGAATCGGTTGGTGCAAATGCCACAAGCAAAGTGAGCCTGCATCCAAGTGTGGGCCTGAGGGGTAGGATCAGGTGCATCCGGGTGAAGGTCCCTGTGTCGTCGGTCACCAAGTGCAAGGCCCAGTTGTTTCATCACGGGACATGTGTGGGTCTTGGACTTGAACTCCATGTGACAATATGAGCATGGTGAAGTCACTCTGGCTCGAGTGATGTTGGGAAGCACTTCATGCATGATCGTGGCAGCACCTGAATGTTCCCTGTTCATATGCGCACTCATCTGCTGAGTGCGTGCAGCCCAGTAGCCACAGAGAATGCAGCGATGCGTCAGGAAGGTGCAGAGAGGATGATCATCCTTGAGCAGCTGCAAATCTCCAGCATCATAGATATCCAGGAGTCGTCGTCGGTGGCTGGTCAGGACCAGCGGCGGTGCCTTGGTTGGATCCAAGTGGGTGCAAGTGTGAGAGCTGATGTGATGTTTAAGGTTTTGCCAGCTGATGAAAGCTACACCGCAGTGTCTGCATATCGGGCGTCCATCAACCGCATCCCTAGAGATTTGGAAAGTTGGTCCCTGCATCACCGCAATGCCATGTACATGGATGAGATGTCGCCGTAATGTGTGAAGTCGTCGAAAGGTGAGACCACACTGTTCACAGTTCAGACCTGCCTGGGCCAGCTCTGGTGAATCATCGGCGGCATCGTCCATGTGATCCTGCAGCCATTGGTCAATGAGTTCTATGGAATGAAGTATGTGTTGAACATGAGTACCATGAAGAATATCATCAGGCTGCAAGTGGCCCTGATTCCGTTCCCACCTCTGAATGTGGGAAAGAAGGCGGTGACGCAGAGCACTCAACGGGTGCTCCAGTCCATGCACACGCAGGAAGGCTCGATGAGAATTGTGAGTCAAAAAGGAGTGATCACCTGCAACTTGGCGAAGTTGGAGCATCATTT